GCAGAGGCGACCGTATGGGCGGTGACTGATGCCGTTGCTGACCTTGCGGATGATCGTACTAGATCCGTTTGCCGATTCGAGATCCAAGGTAGATCGGAAGACGCTCGGCAAGCATAGGTAAGTGGCCTGTAAATGCCCCGAACTTCTGTCCCACCCTTGGCAAGTCTATTATTGTCGGGACACGTTGCAACTATCGTACCGAGCATGCACCGAGTGTGTGCAGGAGTGGGTCAGTTGTCGGTTGTCGAGGAGCTGGCCGATGCGTATGTAAGTACTCCAGATCATGATGCCTGAGACCTGCCATGCGAGGACCGGTGGGAGAAGCGTGGATAGAAGCACCCTGACACCCGGCTGAGGCGGTCTATCAGCCGACTCTCGTCGACGATTAACCCATTTATCAGCTATTCTATAGCCGCTTTCGGTGCAACACTTCGACGCTGGCACCATGTGTCACCGCCTTCTACGTGCTCTCGCGTTCTATATATTGGTCCTCCAACACATCCAGGTTGAGATGCCAACTCGCCCCCTTGACCTCCCCCGCACTTCTAGGGTAGTTTGCCGGTATGAAGACGTGGCAATTCCTCGCTTTCGCCCTTTTCGCGGTCCCAGACGCGTGGGCCGCCAATGTCCAACTGGCAGGTCTCAAGGTACCACCTAGCTTTGCTTCCAGTCGCCAAGAAGTGGTCAGCATCTTCAACAACAGTTACCAGACGTACCGGTAAGAGGCAGATTACGCGTACGTACGCCGGGCTAACGAAGTTCTCTAGGAGAATCGCTTTCGGTCACGATGAAGTCTTGCCGGTCAGCGAACAACCCTCTGATCCGCGAAATGGTTGGGGTGCGAGCATTGTAGACGGTATGAGCACAATGGTGGGTTGCCTTGCGACGCTCTGTGCCTACACATACTCATCATTGTATCCCAGTACATCATGGGTCTGACAGTACGTATCTGCCAATTTAACTCTTCGCATTTCCTAATCTCTCGTCCTTTAGGACTTCTTCAACGAGGCTGTCAATTTCTCCCAGCAGATCAACTTTACCGAATCCAACACGGCTGACACCGTCAGGTAGTCTTCTGATAGCTGTTTCCTTCCACAACACCTCTCACGTCATCATTGCTTCTCAGTGTCTTTGAGAGCACGATTCGTTACGTTGGTGGACTCATCAGCACGTATGAGCTCAGCGGAAAGAAGTACCCACTTTTGATAGCAAAGGCGAAGCAGCTTGCAGACAGGCTCTCCTTGGCGTGGTCTTTGGTAGGCCCTTCGTCGATTCAGGCCGAGCAATACGCTCACTGGGATGTGCAGGGAAACGTTATTCCGTTCGGTGAAATTGATTTCAGCGCCAATGCTCCTCAAATTGAGACTGTACGCAGGATTCGTTTCCGTCCCTCGGTCATCTGCTGAAGCATGCTCTGTCACACCAGTCCAACATTGCTGAAGCCGGGACTGTGAGCATTCAAGCCACGACGTCGCCTGTTCGTCTCTGAGGCCCTTTTCAGCTCACACTCGAATGGTCTCGTCTGAGCCTATACACCGGCAACGACACGTATCGACAACTGACTGAGGGGTCTGTTCTCAAAATGGCGTCAAATGTCAGTCTGCAATTTTTGAGCTTCTTGCCTCTCTAGCTGATGCAATATCAATTAGCCTGCTCCTCTTCCAGGTGCGAGACGGTGCCAGTACATATATTGATTGCCTTGATTGTTCCGTTGCAATAGGTCTCCCTGGTCAAGGCATCGACCCCTCTACTGGCGACCCCGTTGGCGCTTACGTTGTGAGTGTGCTTCGTCTCTAGAGCAGAAAGTCGATCCGTAACCTACCCGTTATTTCTCAGACGTGGGGCGGGGGCTCAGACAGCTATTTCGAGTACCTGATCAAATACGCACGGTTGTCCAACACGGACGACGAGACCTTCGCGAACACGTGGCTCACTGCTGTCGATTCTTCCATCAGGACGCTAAAGCGGGTGAGCCAGCATTATTCGAAGCTGTTCTGATTCGACATGGTTCTGACATTATTCCGCACGCAGACGTCCACCGTCGGCGGCCACGTCTATCTCGCCGACTTTGACGATAGCGGCCTCATCCGGCACGTCGGGTCGCATCTAGCTTGCTACCTGGCTGGGAACTGGCTACTCGGTGCGCGTGAAACTTATCGCTTTGGTTACGAAGCTCATCTGTCCTGATAGGCGGGAAGCTGACGAACAACAACACTATCGTAAGCAATGCGCTGGAACTGAACGATGCCTGCTGGAACACCTATGCTGGTGACGCGTCAGTCGCACTCTATCTGCGCAGACCGCATGAGACTGATTTTATCTCGAAGCACTGGCATTGGCCCCGAGGGCTTTGCGTTCATCTCCTCCGACGGGAACTTCACCGGCAATGGCCCGCCCACCGCGGCTGACGTCGCTTTCTACAAGAAGCATGGGTACTACATCACCTCATCTGACTATATACAGCGCCCTGAGGTCCTCGAGAGCAACTTTTACGCCTGGCGCGTCACCGGCGACACGAAGTACCTCGATCGTGCAGTCAGCGCCATCGAGGCCTTCAACAAGGTGTTGACTGTCCCGACGGGCGGGTACGCTGGGATCAACGACGTCAACGACGCCGACTCGTCCCAGATCGACGATACCGAGAGCTTCTGGTTTGCGGAGGTGCTGAAGTATTTGTATGTGCAGCCACTCTCGGTGTGAATTCTGCTGATTCGTTCTGGGACCAGATATCTGACGCTGGACGACCCGAGCCACATTAGCATCGATGATTGTGAGCTCCTTTGTGCCATCTCAGAGACGATGCCTGACCGTGTGTCCAGACGTGTTCAATACCGAAGCACATCCATTCATCGCGCCGCCAGCAAAGGCGACCTACGGCACTGGCATACTTGCGACGCCGACGAAGCCGTTCATCAATCACCCTGGGCCTCTGCCCCCTATCAGCTCGGACCCAGCATTGCCAACTCCGCTTCTCAATGCTTTCAATATAGTCTAGAAAGTCTTTGAAGGGTTTCCGTCCTTTAAATACGGGCAGCTTGTAAATTTATGTCAGTTTGCGTCGCAGTGTTATCAAAGCATTGTTCTATACGAGACTCAAACGGGTGAAGTCGACGAGAGGAGGAAGCGACAGGCAGGTGTATTTTTGTATCTCCTCAGCTAAATCTGCTACTTGCGGCTCAACCTGTGCGCACCGATGCTTGCGAGTGCCTGCTTCCCTGCGACGGCCGACAAAAACGCGGCGCCGGAGCCATAGAGTAGGATCTGCCCCAAGCGCAACTCGACCCAGTACCAAAGCAGGAGTGCCTCGATAACACCCAGCGACAGGGTGAATGGGAAGATGCTCGGTGAGAAGAGGCGAGGGACGCCGGCGCCCACCGTACCCCACTGCACCAAAATTAGCACTACGTACGAGGGAGATTGTAGAGGAAAGCACGCACGAGACCGAGGAGAACGACCCACGGGGCAAGCACCGCTGCGGTGGAGACAGCGGAGACGAAGCGGGGCGGAACCTTCTGCTCCGGGCGGAAAGTGTGCGAGATGACGGGGAGGGGGTGGAAGGTGTGCTCGTCAGGGTGCTGCGGCGCGGGGAGCGACGCCGGCACGACGAGGTCGAACAAATCGACCTTTGCGGGCTTGTGCACGTACGACCCAAGGATGAGCGACACCTTGAGTGGTGCTTCGCCCGAAGGCGGGAGCGAGGACGGCGGGCGCGCCATGTTCTGCGCGGAGATTAACTACGCACAGCAGTTGCAGAAGGAAAGGGTGCGCGCACCAAGTCGAACTTGGCTTTTCCAGCAGGTGTGACTTTTACCGGCTGGATGCCCTCCTCTCCGGTCGTCTCGTCATAGAAGCGCAGGAATGTCTGGTGCGGCTGCACGCCGTCTCCGCCCTCCTTATCAGTGACCTGGAAGGTCAGCTTTAGCGTGTCGCTGGCCCCGAGAGATACGGGTTCAGGGGAGATATTTGACAGTGATATCCTGTGAGAGTGTGTTGAGGGAGCAAGGACGAGGGTAGGAAAGCGGAAACGCGTACTTCTCGGAGCGAAGTTGGCTGCCATCCGAGGAGAGAACAGTGAAGCGGGGCGATTGCACGGTCAGCTGGCCAGCATTTACTGCCGCAGCGGCCACGAGAGGAAGTAAAAGAAAAGATAGGACACCCATTGACGTTGGCGTTGCGGAGGACGGTGCACAGCGCGCTCGGTGACACGTAGGGTGTACCACGGGCGCTTATCGACATTAGTTAAAGATAGACACCTGTGATTGGACAAGTGGACTCTTCATCATAACAGCCGTCCTCTCACACGAAAAGCACTTTGCTCAAACGTAACAAACGTTCATGTATACCGCCATACAAGGTTGAGTGTCATGGAATACACTGAAACAGTTAGAACGATCGACTGTCATCGTTCTCCTTAGGTCTGACTGTGGGAGACTAGAAACTTGCTAGAAACAGTCGGGTACGAACGGTGACCGGTGACCCCGAGTTGAACGCGACCCCAGTGATGAACCTTGCGGATTCCTCTGGCGCCACACCTGACGGGTGGCTCTGACAATAGACGACTGTATATTTTGAAGACGCATCTTCGCATCTTCGTTGCTGGAGAGGGGATATACCGTGTTTGGTGCTGTCATGGCCCCTCGCGACCTCAGATTCCTCAGATCGGGCGGGATTTTCATCCATAAAAAAACAAGACACATAATATACGTATTCTCTATCGATTCACGATTTCTCCAAGAGCATAGCACACTGAGAACTTGTGGTTGAAGCCAATGGACCTCTCGAATGAGCATCGAGATCTAGAGGTGTGACAAGTTCAAAGTCCGAAAGGTTCGGCAATCGCCGCCCGGGCTCGTGTCAGTTCCCTTTGCGAGACCCCCTCCTCGGTCGCTCCCCGACACGAGCGTGAGATCCCCTTTAATCGCAGAAAAATGTGAAATAGATGACTGAAACATTTTATAATGCTATTGTATAGTTTTTATGAAGACATAAAAGGCAAAAAGAGACCCTAGCGTGAGTCGAACACGCGACAACACGATAGGTCACGTGACTGCAATCGTATGCTCTAACCACTGAGCTATAGAGTCTGCTTTGCGGAGGCATGTAATAGAGTATGACCCTCCCGAATTTCCTCTGAATTTATCGTGATTTTCTGGCTCCTCTAGCTCGCGCAGGGTGGGCGGGAAGCGTCGGTTACACCGTTGCAGAGGGTGGGGGCCTTCCCGGGAGCCGGTCGGAACCGGGGAAGACCGGATTGGATGAATGCCATTTGCTGAAGCGTTGAACTGTGGCTCGAGGAGACAGTGCTGACTGTATCATCTTCGTCGGCTCCGCTTCTGTAAATCTTCATCTCATATTATCAGTGTTTCGTCTGCAACATAGACCATGGTATAGTTCCTGGAACACAAGGGGATCAACGGAGAAGATCGAGTCGCACTGGTCTCGGAGGTGGTGGAGGCGGGACGACCTCGTTCGAGCTCCAAGAGACCAAGGTACGTAACTAGGGTACTTACAAAATATCGTCCCCGCGGCGTCGTCTCCTATGACACGGCAGCATACGAATCGTATGCTCTGACCACTGAGCTATAGAGTCTGCCTGATGAAGGTAGGTAAACGTATACTAAGATGACCTTGTTTACCCCTGTATTTTTTGAATTTCTCTTCGCGATTGTTATGCGCAGGGTGAGCGGGAGTCGAAAGCGTCAGTTACAGAGGAGGTAGGGCCGGCGCGGGGAGCTAGGGACGACCGAATTAGATGAATACCAAAAAACACAGTACTTATCATTTTCGTCGGCTTCGTTTCTGCAAACCTCCACCTTGTGATTTTGTCTGCGCGACATGGGTTATGATATGAATTTCTGGGACATAGAGAGGATCAATGGAGACCACAGAGTCAGCGGCTCAGATTTCGAAGGTGGTGACGACCTCGGCCGAGCTCGTATGCCATTGCCAACCAAGACACCAAGGTACATAAGTAGAGTAGAGTACTTACAGTATCATCACCGTCGCCGTCGTCTTCGCAGCCGACGGTTCGAAGCTGCCGCCGATTTCCCCAAATCGTAGGCTGCAATCACTGAGCTATAGAATGTGCATTGTGAAGAGCAAGAGACGTGTGCAAAAGTTCTGAGCATGCGGAGACTGCCGAGCGGTGCTTCAAGTGAGATTGCCTGATCGGGACGAGGCAGACGTTTGCGAGGGCGACGCGTAGTACGGGACGCGTCATCTGCTCGCGCTCGCTTTCCGCTCTGCCAAACCCGACGTCGAACTCACACCACCATGGCCGACGTTGAGATGAAGCCCGCAGACGAGAAGACACGGAAGGATGCCGACAAGAAGGACGAGAAGGAGACAACACCCACCCCGCCGTCCGCCGTCTCCGAAATAAAGTCCAATATCGCGCTCATTGACCGCGCAGTCTCTACACTAGAACCCCGTTTCACCCACCGTGTCCTGCGCTCTCTCGCGGCTCTTCGGAAACGGTTGAACGATACAGTCCTCAGGGATGCCATCGCCGAGGTGTACCCGCAAGGTGCGCGAGCCCATGCAGTCCTTGGTGGTTCGCCATCTGACCCCGAGTAGACTCTTCCGTGAAGGCCGTGCTCCTTTCATGGCTCCCCGAAGCTCCAGCACAGGATCAGTCCATGGACATTGATCCTACCCCTACTCCCACTTCCAAGTCCATACCTGCAGAACCAGTCCCCGAAGCCGAGATCTATCTCCGCCTCCTCATTCTGCACCATTTGCTCACCTCTCCGAGCAACTATGCCAAAGCTACGGAGCTCGCTCAGGACACCGTCCAGAAAATGCAGGCGTTGAACCGCCGGAGTCTTGATCCCATTGCTGCAAAGGTCTGGTTCGCTGTTGAGCGTACTTACGAACTGGCCGGGGAGTTGTCCGATGCACGGCCGTAAGTGTGCCCACCCAGTATGTTTGTCTCCTCTCTAACACTATCTTAGGCTATTCCTCGCTGCCCAACGCACTGCATCGCTGCGACACGATGACGAGACGCAGGCATCCCTCATCAACCGACTACTGCGCAGCTATTTGCATTACAGCCTCTACGACCAGGCGGACAAACTGGTTTCGAAGACTACCTTCCCACTGTCTGCTCCGAATCCGCAATACGCCCGATACCACTTCTTCCTCGGACGCATCAGGGCAGTGCAACTCAACTACACTGAAGCGCACACGAACTTGCAGCAGGCGATTCGCCGCGCTCCGCCTCCAAAGATCGCACCTGGCTTCTACCAGGCCGTGCACAAGCTGTTCGTGGTCGTCGAGCTCCTCATGGGTGATATCCCAGAGCGGAGTCTCTTCAGGCATCCTGTTCTAGAGAAAGCCCTGAGCGGCTACTTTGATATCGTCAAGGGTGAGTTATCGTTCAATCGTGGCTTGCCTCACGCCTTACACACGTCTCCGCAGCGGTGCGCACAGGTTCTCTTTCACAGTTCCAAAACACCCTGTCCCAGCACGCGGCGCTGTTCGAGGCGGACAAGACGTACACGCTCATCGTGCGCCTGCGCCAGAACGTGATCAAGACGGGCATCCGCCGCCTGTCGCTCTCGTACTCGCGCATCTCGCTGCGCGACATCTGCGTCAAGCTGCATCTCGACTCGGAGGAGGACGCAGAGTACATCGTCGGCAAAGCGATCCGCGACGGTGTCATCGAGGGCCGCATCGTGCACGAGAAGGGCTGGATGGAGTGCGGCGGACAGAAGACGGGTGACGGCCCGGAGGTCAGTGAGATGTTCGCGCGGCGTATTGGGTATTGCTTGGAGTTGCACAACCAAAGCGTAAAGGTGAGCTTCGGATGTGATACTGTTCTATGCAAAGAGTTATTAATCCATGACCAGGCTATGCGCTATCCATTGAACGCCCATCGGAAAGAGCTGGCAGACGCGGAGGGCGCCCGGGAGCGCGAGAAGGAATTGGCGAAGGAAATCCAGGAGGGGGATCTGGACGACGATGACTCCGCCCTTGGGGAGTTCTGAGTCGCCGTCGCCTTCCATGTGTAATATGATGTTACCCCGATATCGCAGAGGTCTCTTTGTAGCTTGAAATGGACGTTGCACAGCAAGAGGATGATGCGATGACCTGCCATAATGCCGGCGATTGTTGTCCTCGGCCGCAAGTGCGCCACCTGGACTTGAAATACAGCGATTATCAGCACGGTCTTCACGTTGCCATCAACGCAGACTCTTCGTTTCAAGATGCACCTAGTACCGCCGCCTTGCAGAGGGCACGACCGATGCCATCGAAGAACTTCAACAAGCCTGTGTTCCCACAGGCACTGAGAAATCAGGTACGGGAAGAAGTTTGCCATGAGGCCTCTGGCAGGCGCCCAGGCGTACTAACGAGCTGGACCGAGTGCATAGCACAGCGCCTCCACTCTATCCATGGCCTTGCGACACATCCCGTAAATATCTCCTTGTATCTCTAGCCATCTGCATGCATACCTTGCTGCAGACCCTGCTCGCTCTCCTGCGCAAGCTGCGGTCGTCGAAGGGGCCCGTCGCACAACTACTCCGCCGTCTGCTCGTCCTCTGGGATTACATCCGGCGCCAGCTTCGAATTCGGGTCACGAACCTCTGGACGCATCGATCTCCTTCGCTTCGAGAGCCCGAGGATGTTCCCCCACCACCGCCATCCAATTCATGCCGCACCGTCCAACGACGGCCGGTGGTGATCGCACCCAGCTTACTCCCAACGTCCGCAAGCCACCCCAACATCCGCGAGCAGCGCACCATCCGAGTCGAAGTCCCTCAGCGCCCGCGCTCGACCGCGTACTCCGTCAACGACTCCATCGGGCCCACGTCCTCCGTGGGCGAGGCGCACCCCCTGCAGCCCTGGCACGCGACGCTGACCACGCCGGGGCACGGCATGTACAACTTCGACAACACGAGCGTCGCGAGCCAGGCAAGCGTGCGCGCGTCCATCATCCACGCGAACTCGCAGGCATCCATACGCGTCGAGGCCGATGCGCGATCGGTGCGATCGTCGCGCGCGCCGCACAGCCAGTTCACGAGCGGCCCGCACACCAAGCGGCTCGACACCTCCTCCCGCTCCCGCTCCGCGTCGCGCCGCCGCGGCGATGCTGCCAGTGTACGCCCCGCGCGGTCCCCCATGCGCGGTCCCCCGCCGCCGCTGCCGCCTCCCACTGCACCGTATTCGGCGGAGCACAGCGCGGTGTCGTCGAACGAGAGCTTTGGCTTGCACGTAGAGCGCCCGTCCACGGAGTCTCTCCCCCGCACGCGCCATTCCTTCATATCGATCTCCATTCCTGATGCTGCGGTGGGCTCGCCAGTCTCGCCGGACCCCGTCATTGGCCCGACAATCCCGCCGAGCCCCACTGCAGAGGTGCCTGCCAGCCGGCCGGTGTCTGTGGTCGAGTCGGTCGCGACGACGAGCTCAACGGTCAATTCTGTGCATGATGTGCATACGGAGAGGGTTGCAGACCACAGGCCTGAGAAGCCGCTCCCTATTCCCCCGGAGGGCCGCACAGTCATCCCGTTTCACACTGATCTACTCCCGCGATACGTACCAAAGGCGACGGCGTCAGTATCACTTCGCAGGTTGACTGGTCTTCCGATGTACTGACTTCTTCATCGCAGACCGCGCGGAACGATCGAGCACTGGATTGACCCAAGGACGACATATTTCCCTCAGTAAGCTGTGACGTACTTGCTTGGACGCGGCACTCAATGTCCTCTTACAGCTCGCCTGAAACGCATTCATATGGTTGGATCAAAGCCACACACCCCGATGGCGCAATGTATTTCTACAACCCAGATACGGTGAGTGAGTTGTATTCACCTTTCGAAGGAAGCTGACTCCAACTGTCAACAGAATCCAAGGACTTATACCGACGTGGACATGTTCGACGAAGCTTTGCGAGAAGACGTTGAAGAATTCGTCAAGTATCTGGATGACCTCGCGGAAGCCACTTGTCAGAACTACCTTCCGTCAAATGATTGTGAACGCGTGGTGTGGGTTGAGCCCGGCGACCAGGAATGCGAGGTCAATTGGTTCTACTACTACGTCGACCACGAAACCAGGAACCTGTTCTGGCTTGAGCGATATTGCGCGA